GCCATCTTTACCTGGAGCAAAGGGGCAGGAGTGGGGAGGACGCTTCAGGCTGAGGAAATGCTCCGAGCAGGGAAGCCTAGTGAGCTGGGGTGGCGGGTGGGGAGCAGGCGAGGGTGGCTGCTAACTGTGTGCTTAGGCTTCCGGTGGTGGTAGAGGGGAGAAGAGGGCAGGCCAGATGGCTCAGCGCTGGGGTGCCAGCGGAAACATTTATGCTTTCCTTGGGCAGTTTTCCCAAGCAAGGGGCTGGGGGTACTATTTACAACTGCTCTGTGGGTGCACTGACCAGGGCAGGAGGGTGTAAGGATAGTGGGGTGATGAGGAAGCAGAAGACATTAGGAGGTGGCCAGGGTGGTCCACATGGAGAGTCGAAGAGAGCCCTATGTGGGACAGCCTGGTGGGAAGGGCAGGGTGACTGCCAAAGGCGGGGTGGGGTGGGGGCAGTGGGTACAGGACATGGAGGCTGACACATTCAGGCGATGGGACAAAGGAGGACCCACCGTCAAAGCAAGTTTTCCAGACCGGTGGCATGACAGCCAAGGTCCTGTTAGGTAAATGCGAGTCACAGAGAGCTGGTAAGGGTGAGATGGGGAAGACGACGACTTTGTGTAGGTGAGTAGAGGGCCCCAGACTGTCGGAAATGCACACCTAGGGTCAAGCATCATCTGCATGGTCATTATTATCATCATCAAATAGCTACCGCCTACTGAGTACTACGATGTACCAGGCACTATATAAAGTAAATTAACTTTTATAACAAACTACAGAGTGTTCAGGATTGACTTCCCTCAACAGATAAGAAAACTGAGCCAGGGCCCTCCCTAGTGGCACAATGGTTAAAGTGCGGCACTATGAAGCTATCTACAGTCATTTCAGCATGAGTTCGATCACTGGCCAGGGAGCTGACCCACATGGCACCGCAGACCTCCCCTGACCCACCTTCTGCTCCCCTCAGCAGTGTACCTCATCAATCTGCCTGTTCTGCTCCCAACTTTGTCTCTGGTGAGTCCTCTCACCCCCTGCACCTCTGGCTTGTACCCCAGTTCTTGTATGCATAAATAAATAAATCTTTAAAAAAAAGAGCTGAATGGAAAGCCAAGATAGATGGGTCATGAGAGTTGAGAACAGATTTCAAGGTGATATAAACATCACCAGTTACAGAAACGCGGGAGGAGGAAGGTTGAGGATGTCTGGGGGATTTTGTGATCCAAGATCACTGGTGACCTTCTTTCGAGTCACTTTAGAAGATTGGTGACAGCAGGACGCAGGCCTCCAGGCATCAGGTGTGGCACTTGTGTGTGTAATGGGGCATTTGCACATGGAGAGAGGCAGCGTGTCCACCAGCCTCTAAGAGGGTCAGCGGAAAGTAAAAAAAAAGAGAACTCAGCTTGTGCCTACAGAACAGAGAAGTCAGAGTAACGTTTCAGCCTGGGAAGACCTGGGGGGGGCAGGCCTTCAGGTGACAGGGTGCAGTGCCAAGGCAGAGCCTGGAAACGCAAGTGAAGAATCTAGAGAACGAAAGGGGCAAAGGAATGAGACCAGAGACTCGGGGAGAGGAAAGTTATAGGTCAGGTGAGGAAGGTTTGTAGAGACACAAAGATAATTTCGGAGTTAATTCTTCTGTTTAGTCAACAATTCATTGAATATTCATGTTGGGCATTTTCCAAGTCCTGGGAGGAAAGGCTTGTACACAGCTGGCAAAAGTTTCTGTGTTCATGGGTCTTACAGTCTAGAGGAGACCTTGGTGGATCAGATTCAAGAAATAAACTCTGGTTTTCTTCTCTGTTGGGTGAAGCATGGTCAATGGCTGCAAGAAGTCTCCCAGCATGATATCGGCTAGCTTCCTGCCTCTGAGCAGGGTGGTACCGCGTGGGGGCGGGGGCAGACCCCGTTACCATTTTGGCAATGGAACTTCATAGCTGCCCTCTGTTGCCAAGTGTGTCTTGTAACCTCAAACAAATGCTCTTGGGTCAGAGTTTCCCTGGGAGTGTGACTAGACCAGGTGGGGAAGATGCGAATTCCTGCCTCTTGTCCGTTTCTCGTGGTGCTCGGGGAGGGATCATAGGGGGTGGCACTTCAGAGTGGAGGAGGCAGCCATGGGGTCAGCCTTGCAGGACTGCCTTGCCTAAGTCAAGGCCAGTGTCCATCCCAGGCCTCAGGAGACCTGCAGAGTTCAGCAAGGAGGTTCAGCAAGCTCAACTCTAATGCACTCTCCCTCTGGCATGAGTTCTGCAAAAGCAGGACTAGTGTGTCTCAGAGGCAGAGAGCTGTGTTTCTGGAGAGCTCCTGGGGATATGAGTTCAAACCTAGAGAAAGGAGGACCTAGGAGACAGTTTGTCCAGTTGGCTAGGGGGTCCCAAGATTCCGCTGTGTCCCAGTCTCCTTCCCACCCCCACCAAGTGGATGGGGTTAGAGAAGAACACGGGACATCACACCTGTGATTAGGTCAGCAATCAGTTGACATTGAGTTAGGCAGAGTGGGAACGCAGAGTCCTGGGTGACCGGACCTAATCAGCAGAGAGACACTGTCCTGTGCACTCTGAGGGGGAAGCTGTGCAGTTGCTAGTTGGCCCTAGCAAAGGACAGCAGGCAGCCCCTCGTTACAGAGCGCCCCAATCTCAAAGAACTCATCCTGCCATTAGCAGTGAGCTTGAAGAGGACCTTGAGCCTTTGATGAGTTGCAATGCCAGTTGACACTGTTTTTGAGTCTGGTGCGATCCAGAGCCAGGGACTAAGCTGTTCCCAGAGTACTGAGCTAAGAGAACTCTGAGAAAATAAATGGGTGTTGTTTTAGGCTGCTATGCGTGTGGCCATTTGTCACCCTACAATAGGTAACTAATGATCTGGTATGACTTTTATGGGTACTCTGAAGGCCCCTATGATCTGAGGCTGGTGAGCACCAGGAGAGCTTCCTGCCTTCTGCTTAAAGCTTTGTGCTTATGAAATTGCATATTTCTGGAAGGCGTCATGTAGAAAAACTTAATGACCACCCAGACTTTAATAGGAGGAAGTCTTCCGGCTCTGTTCATGGGCAGCCGTGAGCCTGGGGAGCGAGACCACATGATGCCACTAGATTTGGGAGTGGGAAAGGGCACCAAGTGGTGAGGGCACTGGAATGCCAAGGGGAAGCCACTGAGGGCACCCCATTTTACTGGGGACTGTGTCTGTTCACGGGACCAGGTGGGTGCCCCTGCTGGTCTTTCTGTGGTCTCCCCTCTCGCAGAGGGGAGTCCTGGGGTGGCAGGGGGTAGTCACCCCAACTGCAGTCCCCGGTGGGTGCAGGAAGCAGTTGCAGTGTCATTTGTATTGAGGAATGAACTTGGCCTTTCTCCTGGTCCCCAGCCCCCCTCCACCCACGATGCTGGGATGATGTGCTCTTGAGTTGGTAATTTCACCGCACACTCTCCCATTTCTCAGGTGGAGGAAGGCGCTCTGTCGGTGGTCAGTAGAGAGTACAGTCGCGAGTATGACATAAATCAGGGCCCAGAAACGCCTCCTCACTCTCAAACGTCCCTGAGGCCTGATGGAGCCGTAAGGTTACTGTTATGTCACCCCCTTCCTAGAGGCCTGCTCTGTCATTTAAATTATACGACATTAAACACTCTCCACGAAGGACTGTGGTTACATTCCCTCTTGGGGGAATAGCTCTCTAGTCCCTTCCTAAGAGATTCTGATAGGAGAGAAAACGCGAGGGCACGTGGCAAGCTAAGGGGGAGAAAAGATGGGACCAGAGCTGAGAGGGAAGACAGCGTCGAGGACACACCGGCCTCACGCCTGCCCCTCCCGGGTTCACATCTGCTCAGCCACGCCAGGGCGCACTGCCAGCCCCCGAGCCCTGCCCTGATTGTACAGCTGCCGCTGCTGACCACAGAGGTGACTGACCGCAGAGCATGATGGCCGCCGGGACTCCCCCTCCTGGATGGAGGGGCGCCCCTCCGCCCTCCACCCAGCTTTGTATTAAATTCTCATCCATTGAGCTCTGCGCATGGACATTTAATACAAAGCCCTCGGGAGCCCTGGAAATACAGACGTGATCAAATCCTATTCCTAACCCTTACAGTGACCCCCGGGACAGGCGGTGCTTCGTGACCCCGAGTGGCAACAGGAATACTGATAGGGAAAGTGGGTGATTAGGAGCAGCAGCCTTTTTTTTTTTTTTTAACATTTCTGTTTATTATTTTTAAATGTACACAAAAATAGAACGAAGAATAATCAAATCTCATATAACCATATCTCAGTTTTAATAATACCTCAGTTTTAACAATTTTAATAATATTGTTTCATCTTACCCCTTTTGACTTTTTTTGGACAGCATCTTTTTTAAAAAAATTTATTGTTTTATGCATACAGAGCTGGGGTACAGGCCAGAGGGGAGGGGGATGAGAGGATTCCCCAGAGACAGAGTAGGGAGCAGAACAGGCAGACTGACAAAGTACACTGCTGCGGGGAGCAGCGGGCGGGTCAGGAGAGGTCTGCTGCACCATGTGGGTCACCTCCCTGTCTGGGGATCGAACTGGCACTGCAGTGGCTACAGAGAGCTTCATAGTGCTGAGACTTAGCCCCTTGCACCACCAGGGAGCCCTTGTGTCTTTCAGTACAAATTGGAGATATCATGGATGTCACCCTTCAGTATGTATTTCTGATTTGAACATTTCTAAAAACGCCTTCACATCAGCACAACTGACTAGCACCAGCAGATGACTCTCCCACGCTCTGGGGCCCCACTGAGCCCCAGAATTCAATCCTACAGCTAGAGGGATTCAATCCCTACCTAGAGGGATGCTGTTAAGACCGGCTATGTCAGGCCGTTACATGCCAGGAGTTTTCAGAGTGAAACCCTCTTGCCCCCCACCTGTGCATCCCCGGGCTGCGGGAGGGTTTAGCCGGGCGGCTCCTCGGTCACTATCTTTTGCAGGGCATGTAACCCCGCTCCCCAGCTGACTGAGCTCTTCTTTCTGTGTCCTTTTGCAGATTGAAATGTTAGAACACAAGTACGGGGGCCACCTGGTGTCCCGGCGCGCCGCTTGCACCATCCAAACCGCCTTCCGCCAGTATCAGCTCAGCAAGAACTTCGAGAAGATCCGCAACTCGCTCCTGGAGAGCCGGCTGCCGCGGCGGATCTCCCTGCGCAAGGTGCGGGCGCCCACCGCGGAGAGCCTGGCCGCAGAGAAGGCCTTCATGGAGGGCTACGGACTCCTGGGGCTGCCGCTGGTGCGTTCGCCCTCCCTGCCGCCCTCTCTCGCGGGCACGCTCACCGAGCTGGAGGACTCTTTCACGGAGCAGGTGCAGTCCCTGGCCAAGTCCATCGACGATGCCCTCAGCACGTGGAGCCTGAAGACCATGTGCTCCCTGCAGGACAGTGGCGCCTACCAGATCCACCAGGCGCTGCAGGCGGGCGCCGGGGGCCCCGGCCTGGAGGCCGAGCTGCGGGAGGCGGAGAGTGTCCGGCCCGGGCAGGGGGACGAGGTCGCAGAGGCCTCCTGCCTGCCCCAGGGCCACAGCAGCACCCTCATGATGGCCTTCCGGGATGTCACCGTGCAGATCGCCAGCCAGAACATCTCTGTCTCCTCCTCCACAGCGCTGTCGGTGGCCAACTGCCTGGGCGCACAGGCCACCCAGGCCCCGGCCGAGCACACGGCGGCGGACAAAGCCGAGCAGGGGGAGGCCCAGGGGCGGGAGGTCCCAGCGATCCCCGCTCTGGGCCAGGGGGGTGCGCCTGCCCAGAGCACGTGCCCCCAGGACGGAGCTGGGGAGGCCCTGGGTGTCCACCGGCCTGGGGCGGGGGAGATGCTGCTGGAGGAGGCGGTGGCCACGGAAACAGAGGAGGGAGAGGAGGAGGAGGCAGGGGAGCTGGGGAAAGGAGCGGAGCCCGACGCCGGGGACACCTTGGAGCAGCTGAGCAGCAGCAGCGCGTCAGCCAAGTCGGGCTCTGAAGTGTCGGCCTCGGCCTCCAAGGAAGCCCTGCAGGCCATGATCCTGAGCCTGCCGCGCTACCACTGCGAGAACCCCGCCAGCTGCAAGTCGCCCTCGCTCTCCACCGACACTCTGCGCAAGCGGCTCTACCGCATCGGCCTCAACCTCTTCAACATGTGAGTGAGCACCGGCGTGGGCGCCGGGCGCCCCGGGAGTCCCGGAGGGAGGGCAGAGGAAGGGGCCTGCATCACTGGGGGCAGGTGCCAGGCCCTGCGCCAGCCGCCGGTGCCTGCCAGGTGGCGTTGATGCTGGGCCTGTGCCCTGAGACACGCAGGGACACGCACTCTTCAAATGGCTAGGAATTTGCTCTAAGTAGCATGAGGAACAAGAGGACAATGAAGCCTGTGCCTGGACAGCTAGTACTGCTTCCGATAAGGCTGGGGAGTGTGCAGAAGGAATATAGTATTCAAGAAATAACAGCGCTGGTGGCACAAGGCACAGTAGAAAGCACAGAGGCTGGGTAGGAAGTTAGGGAGATGCAGCATTGGGGGTGGGGGTGACGCTGGGAAGAGGAGAGAAAATGAGCGCAGTAGAAAATGAGGGAAGCCCATCCGGGGCGGGGGCCAGGAGCAGGGTGAGAGGAGACTGGCTGCACCCAACACAGGTGCAAGGCGGCAGAAGGTGCGTTGAAGGGAGAAGAGGGGG